GCAGAAATAAGAGAAGGTGTTTCGCCTCCGCCTGCTGCTCACAACAGCTGTAGCTTGACATTGTGCAATGTTATCTTGGACAATTTCTGACTCCTCAGCATTAAACTGGGTAAAGGTCACAGGTCTGGAGCTTTAATGAGGAGCTGCATTGCTGCATTTTTCCTGTGGATCTGCTGTAATGAAGACAGGAAGTTAGGAAGTGTGTGGTCTTAGTAATTTGCGTGATTTTACAGAATATAATACAATTTACCTAAATACTGTTAGTGGTGCTGATAACTACTGCCTATCCAGAGACCCTTCTGACCCTCTGTGTCCCTATAAAAACCACATACCTAAAGTGTACTAGACAACTGGATTTATTTGCATTCTGTTAAAGAACAGAACCTGCCCTCAACTGTATTCAACAATTCATTTTTGTTCACCAGAAATCAGCAATGTGCTTAACAACAGATCTCAAATACCACATACTTCTTGTGGACACATGATATGGAAAAAGATACGAAGAGACAGCTGAGCAATATAGGGAAAAATGGAAAGAAGGAAGACAAGGAATGTCCTTGACCTCAAACTGAATGCCTGTGAATGATGTACCACAGTGTCCAACCCATGTAGTACATAGAATGACACACTGCAATTGTCTGAGAAAACACATGTTATTTTTGTCACAATCAATTATTCAAGATAAATCCAAACATGTCTCAACTCTAGATGAACCCAGGCTCAACCTTGGATTCTTAAAGCCCTGAATCTTTCAAAGAAGAATAATGCTGCACACTGGCCATTAATCATGTGCTCCTGTTATTACATTATTATATTGTTATAGTAACAAAACACAAGCCTTTTGGTGAACACCAAGATCAGAGAAGATCTGAGAACGTATGAACAGATGCAGAAAATACATCAGTATCCAGTTTGATTAACACCAGACAGACATGACACTCAGTCATGTACTGAGAAGGTGGTGGCCTTGGCTGACCACTGCTCCAGGCAGACATCATGAAGATAGGCCGAGGACAGAGATGTTAGAGATGATTCCAGCAGAGACCCACAGAGTGGTGTTGGGTTTCACACTAATTGCAGAATCTGCAGCAGTGACCTGAGCCCTGCACATCAACTGCTCTGTGAAGGCTGCCAAGATGAATCTCTCAGGGGTTTCTGGTTGTTCTCTAAAGGAAGTTATTAAAAAGACAACACACAAACAATATAAACAAAAGCTGAAACTACAAAAACAACCAGGTGTGTGTTAAAGGAGAGTGACCTGATGGATATATTTGAATGATGTGGATGAGAACAAGCTGAAGTCAGCAGAGTACAGCATGTTCCAACAACCAACCTTTATTATTGTTATTAATCATACCATTATTATTCTAGTTATTATTGTTATTATTAAACATGCCACGACATAAAACTAAGATTTTACTCATGCTTTATTCCAATCAAAACTACTAATATCATACTTCTTTGATTTACAGTATACAGTAAGCCTTTGGGATATAAGTCACAGGACCAGCCAAACTACTGAAAAAGCGAGACCTATAGTCCAAAAAATATGCTATTCAAAAAGCCATAACATTCACTGATATTTGAGAAATACTCTTATAACAGTCACTACAATCAACATTGACTCGTCTCATTTTCCCCTGCATCCAACAGGAAAAGTCTACGTCCACTGCAGAGAAGGCTACAGCCGCTCTCCCACTATGGTCATCGCTTTCCTCATGCTGCGCCACAAAATGGATGCGCGGCAGGCGGTGGCCACCGTGAGGCACAAGAGAGAGATCGGTCCTAATGATGGCTTCCTTCGCCAACTGTGCCAGCTGAACGACAAACTAGCAAAGGAGGGGAAGCTGAACGGTGAGGTGGGAAAATTAAAGACCAAATGATACCCAGGGACCCTCTGCCCTGTCTGTTCCCATCATGCCTTTTGACAGGTGTCAGCTGCTCTCGGAGACTGATCCCGACCAGACTAAACCAGCACCCATTCAACACACCGGGGTATCCTGCTAACATACATACACACACATACGTGCGCTTATCAGTGTAGCTTGTTTGTCTTTGTCCGTGTCTCTGCTGCTCAGTAGCAGTGGTCTCGCTCCTCTGCTTGGCCCTGCAGAGTTAGATCTCACAACACGTTCCCCAGCAGCCCCTCTTTGTCACCCCCACAGTCAACAGATGTGCAGATGTCTCTCTGCTCCGCCTCTGATCTGGTATCATTTCTGAGCCAAGCTACATGAAGCATTCCTTCAGTTCTAACCAGTCAAAGAAACATTGCCCTGATTCATCCCTGCGTCCCTGCGTGGATTCAATGAAGATTATAGCACAATCATTCCATACTTTTCCACTGCCACAAATGTTGAAGTTTCAATGAAACCCCTAAATAATATACAATATACAAGTCACTGACTGCATGTGTTTCAGACACAGAAAAACAACAAACATTTTATTATAAGGTAATTTGTTTATGGAGTAATACTCTAGACATTCCAGAGATCTTTTGAAAACGTACCTGATAGTTTGGTTTGTCCTGCTCCCCCTCAATATGCTTTTCCTTAACAATACAAATTCAGAATCATTTTTTATTTATTTTTTAAAATGAGAGCTTTGTCTACATACAGCGTTTTAACTTTTGGATCGTTAGGCATTCAGATGCCACTAATAGGATGAATTTTAACCTTTCAGAAAGTTATAGTAGCTGTTCTAAGTAAAAAATAAAATCAAAATCAAATCATGTCAAAATCCACTTACTGCTGTATCTGGTGTCGAAAATAAGCTACACTGTAGCTATTGGAGCTAACATTTAGCTCAATTATGCTGCTGGAAGGTGATTAAAAGCAGTAAACCTAGCTAATGGCCACAAATAAATATGTGAAAAAAATGTTTTTGCTGCCCTGTAGTGGTACTGCAGGCCATTTAGAAATGTATTTCTAAATGCCTAAAAAATATCAGACGCAACGAGAATGTCTTTCATACACATTATATGTATGTAACACATTAGTGTCCGTCAAAAACACAAACACTGATCAAAACAAATCTGATATAACTACTTTAAAAAAATTTCTTTTGTTAATTTTGCCTTTTTGTCAGAGAAAAGGCAGAGTATTAATTACACCAGGCCCAGATCTTGTACGTAGCTCATGTGTTAATGCAACCTAAACTTACACTATGTGGTCCACTTAATTTGGATTTAATAAAATAAAACTACAGTCCCCGTTATCATATATCGATAGTTTCAGCCAAGATAAAATAAAAACTATGTTAAAACACATGACCCTGCTGCTTCACCACGGTCAAACCAGAGGCCATTACATTAAAACCATTTCCTTCAGAGGACACCGCCCACTTTCACCACAAACTTCCACTCATTTAGTAGAGGTTCCCGACGCAGTCATTTGACCAGTATCCAACAGCACTGCTTCATTGGTACCGTCTGTCAGCGGTCCATACGCAGAGTGTCACATGTGCCACCCCTCAGTGTGTGTATGTCAGGCACTCATTAATAGAGCCTGACCCTGTGCACACACAGGGCCAAAGCCTTTTGTTTGTTTTGTGTGTACTAAAGCATTGCAATATATGTCAATACATCAGATATATAGAATGTACTCACATCAAATGTAGCTGTCGTGGCTGCATTTCGTAGATACTGGGAACTTTCCTATTGTATTGTATTTATTACTGGACAGTACTACTGTAATTAACACCAAGGGGCAGGAAGGACAGTGACAACAGGGATGAAAGTGTGAGATGAAAAGTTTGAATGCTGAAAAGTCGTGTTTGTACTCTGAGCACTGGGAAAGACGTGTCAGTGGCTCATCCATCACAGCCCCAAGAATCAGATGAATAAAAGAAGGTTTAAGAAACAAGGTTTACGTTTGAGTCCAGGAGAGTATTACTCTGCAGAGACTACAACCTACAGTAGTTAGACTCACTTCATTACTAGCACTATTTATTCCTCCCTATTATATATCTGTATACATATGAATATATACATGTACACTGTATATACATATTTAAGTGTTGACATATATGAATGTATAAGCAATGTGTCTATAACGTGTTGGTATTGTCAGTATGTCCTTATATATCACGTAGTACTCCTAATCGTATGACATTTTTCCAGTCACATGTGCATTGGTATGATGTGCATGGACACTGTTCAGTGTAATTGTGATATTTTCCATATCGCAATTAAGAAAAATCGTGTCGACAACTGCAGCTCGGCTGAGATACTGAGGCATGAAGTCATCACCTACACTGGTGCTTTGTGTGGTCTTTAGGTTTCCACTGATTAATTCATGATAAACCGCAGGATGCAGGTGGCAGCAGAAGATCCATATGAGTTAACCCGCATGTGACCTCACTGCATACAAATCATCAAATCCAAGTCAAGGACACGCTCACACCCTCATGTCTTCATTTGGTGTTTTTAGACGTTTGTTGTCTCCCTCTCTGTCCTGATGAAGATCAAAACTGTCGGCTTTGGTAAAAAGACAAATCATGAAGTGATCTCCAGAGTCACATTTCAATGCAGTGTTTGGAAATAGGGAGAAATACTCACATTGAGGAGACGGAAGACTCTCCACGAGGGGGAGCTGTTTAGTTATTCCGATGCTACAGCTTGTTCACAAAAAAAGGAACCCATTTTAAACTCTTTTTTTACCTGAACATTAAAACTATCAAATTTGTACATGTTCAGCAGAGTTTTAGCTGTAATTTTCTTCTAGGCAGGTTATACGCCCTCTGCTGGTAAAATAGATCACTAGACGTCAAGTGTTGTGCCTGAGACTACAAGCCAAAAAACCTAATTCTGGTAAAGGATCTCTCGCACAGGTTTTATACTGAATTTCATTCCTGACCCTTTGGCTAGTAATCAACAGGCAACTCTAGGTCAAGTGTCTTGTCCAGGGACACAAATCTGTTATATCTGGGAATCTGTGATAGGATCTGTGTCCTATAGACAATGTAAGTACTCAGTTGTTTAGAAACATTTCCAAACCTGCATTAAAATGTACAGTTTTGCTGTTGCCTTAAGATTCTGATTGGCCAGAGGAGAGGAAAGCCCCAAATGTTATCACATAGGGTGGAGTTATTGGTAAGTGTAGTTGTGATGTGTCTCCCCTAGGGGACCTTAAAGGGTTTCTGATGGTGTTGGTTCATGGACAGGTTGCTGTCTCTGACCCGCTGCCATTTTTGTCAGCTCATATACTTGAAAAGGTCTCAGATCTGGCATTGAACACCTGGGGACCTGGGAATGTCTCTGACTATGAACCAGGTCCTGCAGTTCAAAGTCAAAACCATTTTCACATGCATCATCGCACGTGTCACGTTGAGTTTTTCCATCACCTCATCATGAATCACAAACCACACAACACTGACGTTAGCCCTAATAACTACAGTATAACGACTTCAATCAAACATACACTAGTACTGTGCTATGAGATGGTAATACTGCACTGTGCAACATTAAGACTGGGATTTCATTCTATTTAAACAATGCCCTCCTTCTGAAGACACCAGAAAAAATAACAACAACAAACATTACTGTTGTTGTTTTTCTATTTCAGCTTATCTTAAATTTGAGAAGCCATTTTAATCCTCCTGACGTTGGTCCAGGATGAGGGTATGTACTTTTATAGCATCAACTGCCTGTACTAGCCCACTCACTGATTCAGTCATCAACAGATTTGGCTGCAGAGATGTAGACTGTGATACTGGACAAATATCAGCCACCGTAGAAGTTTTCAGTCCAGTGACAAATGTGGCAAAAAAAAAAAGCCTACAGAAAACTTCTGCAGTGACTTCACCGCTGGCATTACACTTTTTAGTAACAGACAAACACTGCCACCTGCTGCCCAACAAGTCGAATGGTTTTGCACAAAATTCTCAAGATACTATAATTAGTTTCTGACACTACAATGCCCTGTTTTCCTCCTGCTACCTTTGAAATCTAGTGTTGTGTGTTTACTGAGGTACCAGCGTCATATTTGTGGGATGTATTTCCAGTGCTGTTTATGTATTATCAAGAATGTCCAATGTGAAATGCCATTGATGTATACTGTTTTATATAACGAGTATGTAACGCGCACTAAAGCAGTTGTGGATTGCTGCATTTTACTGTCATTACTTGCCTATTACTGTATACATATAGTCTATTTCCAGAGTACTTTTTGTTTCTTTTTTAAAGATTGAGTTCATTTTAAATAAATCTGTCCTCATACAGGGGCTAGAGTTGTTTAAAGTGTTCATTTTAATGTGTCTCCAGCTGATATTTAAAAAATATCTATTTTAATGTACAGTTGGAAACTCTGATTGTGATTGTGACCTACTTCTCCAGTGAACTCTGTCATTCCTGTTGTTTTAGGACGTTTTACCTATAATGGTAGCCAGTCCTGGGCCAGACTGTAATTTTAATTGGCTCACAGTGCTTGTTTAAAGCCCTACAAGGTACCAGACCAAGGAGCATGATAAAACTGGCTCAGATGGAACCAGGAAGTTGTGTTTTTTATCAGAGAAAAGTACATTAAATTAACGTACAAATCATTTCCTGTGATTTTCGCCTAAATGTGCGGCCCCATGTGGCGTAACTCAGCCATCTGCGTTGAGGTAGGCAGAATCCTGGGACGTGTAAGCCCTCGGTAACTGACAGTTGATATCTTACATCATGGAAACCCATCTGGCTGAACTTATCTGAACGGTCCCTGATGTAATAAAGTCCATCCATCTGGTTTTCCTGAGAGCTTTCAAACAAACACCGGAAATTACTTTGAAATACTGTTTGGCTCAGGTAAAGTGCTGACTCCAGAGCTGTCATTGTTTTTCTTGCGTTCATCCTGATAAACTGCTTAAAAACGGGAGTTTTTAGCACAACTGAGCTCACTGCCCGACTCCACCTGGGGTCCATCACACAGCCCATGTCTTGTCAGATGTTTGATTTTCTGTTCATTTGTATATGCTGCAGAGAACACCGTTGTGGACTTTGACATTTTATGCGTAACACCCATAAATTTGTGTATATATTTGTCATTGCCGTTGACATGTCCGCCAAACACGTCACCACAGTGAAGACACAGCACCCACCCGAAGCCTTACAGTAAAAAAAGGATTGTTCAGATGTGTTTTTGAGTTGGTGTATTTCACTTCACACAGCAGGAAGGGACGGCTCCCTTACAGAACGTGACAATGATGAAGTGCACTTGATTTAAAATTGCTGAGTTATTTTCTTACCTTGGAGAAGTCCCTTCTTTTTTATTTTTCAGAAATAAATGGCTGAGGTATTACTTGTTTGGAGTACTTCTTTTTTTTTTTACTGTGGTAAACTGAATAGAAATGCATTACTTTTGGTTGGAATTACAAGTATTGACATAAAGGAGATATAGTAAGGGCCAGAGTGAACAGTACAATGACCAGAAGGTAGTCCTCAAATCTGATGTTACAATTTGACAAGATTATCACCATAGTGCCTGCTGCTGAGAGACCAGCTGTGATTTATAGTTGATATACACCAGATAGTGTTGATTACAATGCTGTTTTTTACAGTCTGAATCCTAATCTGCTGTTTTAGAAATACAACGATGACTGACTTTGTTCGATGATATGAAGATGAAAAAGCAGCAAAGGTCAGAAAATCATTTTGATATTGAACGTATACGTGTACACATATATGCTCAGATTGCCACATCATGTCAAATCTAAAAAAAACGTTCAACCCATTATTTGCTCTAAACCTTGTACAGTGTCTATTTTCCACTGGCTGGTGATCGATGACATCATACAGTAGACGGACACAGTCCATGGCCCAGCACCAACACTAATGAATGTTACCAAAGCATCTGTTAGTTCTAGCTCTTAGTTGCACTGATAACAATAGTATCCCATAGGTTTCAGATGGTCAGATTATATCCTTGGTACTCCTGTTCAGTTTTCACCTTGAGTTGGTTTCCCCTGACTCTGGTGGACTGATTCTTCTCCCACAGTTCAAAACCATGCAGGTTTAGGTAAACTGGTCAGACTAATTGACCACAGATGCTGCATGTGTGTAGGTGGCTGTTTGTCCACTGTTCATCCTGCCCTCACCTGATGACTGAAGCTCCATCCCCCACTGCACCCTAAGAAGGTTTAAGCTAAAAAAGATAAATCATATTCTAGAAGCAGGTGACAGGTAAGTGATGTATACTGTAGATCTAAATACTGTACATTTTAACATATATCTAACTTGTTGTTTAATTATTGTTTCAGTCATCCATGTAATTCGTCTTTGAAAACTCAAGCAGGCTATTTACCAACTGTGAAAAACAGAAGTTTTATTATGTGACGTCACACCCACATCTACAATATAAAAAAACAGCTGCTAGTGTCCAACTTCAGCACTAGGTGGAGGCAAACCTTTGCTCATACTCGACTGATTAACAGCAGAGAGGAGATATGACAAAAACACTGAAACCGTGAGAGACGGAGGGAGTCAAAGTCCGAGGGGAAATGACATCAACACTGGGAATGAGACGACAGAGAGAGTCAGTGAAGAACCTCCAGGTCTGGCATTGATGTTAACGCTATTTTATGATTCACAGGCCTGGTGCGGCACACCTGGGATGGACCAGTGAATGCCGTGTGACATCCTGAAAGGTCACAGGGAGGAAAAAAAACAACAGCACAGTTACTTCTCTCTACCTTCTTTACTGGTCTTTACTCTCCAGTCCCTCAAACAGTTATGGCTATGAACCGGCTGTGTGGTCCCTCAGGGGTCCCAGTAAACCAGGGACCTCCTCCTAGCTCTGGCGGAATTCAAATCATCGCCACGAGTTGAGAATTTAAAGCAGAGTAGTAAAGGAAACAGCCATGGAATTTCTACTGAGCGAGGCTGGGAGAGAGGTGGGTTATTACTGTTATCAATAAAAACAGGATCCCTTCTTTCAAAAGCCAGACCTGTGCGCTTCTGTCCATAACTACGTCCAAAGTGTCTGTTGGAGAAATATGCCAGGCACAGCGTCCACTGGGGAGAACAGAGGTTCAGGAAGTAGCATGAGTAAAAAGGGGATTATGTGTTACAGCAGGTTCTTGGCCCCACTCTGCTGTTTGTTTGAGGGAATCCAGGATGCTTGTTTTTCTGAAATCTCATCAATAACGGAGCAGGGACTGGCTGTGATGAAGTGTCATTTATTTCAACTACGTGCAGCGGCTGCTTTAAATGTTTATAGTGGTGACCGGAATCAACGCAGACGTGTGCCTGTGTTTGCACTTTAATTAGTGACTCAGAAAAGAAAGATGTTAGATGTTTCTGTACTTTTCAAATAAAAGTGAATCATAAAGTCACTGTTTATTTTTTTTTCTTCCGAGAGATGAAAGTGAACACTGAATCACTGTCTCCTTCATATCCAAATATATGATCTCAGGGTCACTCATCACACTGAATAATACCACTGGAAGCTTGCGTTTGATTGTTGTTTGCAGGGGGAGTGATTCAATGCTGGGAAATATTTCATCCCCTCAGTTGCAGATATTTTCACCTTGACAAACTTTAATGTCTGTACTCCCACCATTTGTCCTCTTTGAAATTTTTATTGCTTGTTGACTAATTTATTCCATCTCCCCAGGCTCTGTGAGTTCACTTTGGATGGTCCAAAGTCATCCATTTTTTTTGGTTTTCCATTCTCATCCATATGTTTTGGTTCATCAACCTACTTTAAATATGATTACAGTCCTTACATTTGCCAATAATTTCCCCCTCATATGGGCGATTTAGCTTTCAACCCTTGTCCTGTTTTTAATGGCTTTATCAAATAGAAAGCATATGATGCTGTCCTCATATCCTCATTCTAACATGCAGCATTCACATTGCGAGGATGGAATTACAGGAGGGTGAAAAGGGAGAAATGCACATCTGCGGTGCAGCACTAATTATTAGGAAATACTGGGAATGAGGGAGAAGGAGAGAGTGGCCTTTGGAGCTGAGCGATCCTCAGATCCTCTTCCAAGTGCCTGTGCCCGTGGTGATGTTGCCTGTTTCATCTCTCTCGTCTCCCAGGCACTGTTTTACTGCACTTGCTGTGCTCTGCGTGGATCCTACAGGGTCCAGTGTTTAGACATCAAACCGACGCAGATACCAAGATAAAGCTGCAGTGTCAGTCGGAAACAAAAGACGCTAACCAGTACAATACTGGCCAGGCTTTTATGTTCCGGAATCCTCTCTACTTGATTTGTGGGGATGGTCAGAACATGTCTCAACATTTCCACCTGTTCTACCACTCATTCATTTACCCATATGACAACAACACAATGAACTGAAGAGTCCTGATGGAAGAAGGAGAAGAAGAACAACAAGAGGAAGAAGAAAATGGGGAAGAAGAGGAAGAGAATAAGGGAGAAAAGGGGATACAGCAAAGCAAAAGGAAAAAAATAAGGAGAAAAAAGTTGAAAAGAACAACAAAACAGGAAATGAAGAAAATGCATAAAGACTAGAAGAAGGAACGGAAGATTTTGAGGAGGATGGTGAGGGTGAAAGTGGAACAAGAAGTAGAAGAAAAATCAAAAGAAAAACGGAAAAGATGGAGCCAAAACAGATGATGTAGAAGATGAAGGACTAAAGGTAGAAGAAGGGAAAAAGGAAGACGAAGGGGGAACAAAGAAGAGAAGTGGAATTTTAAATACTCTAAAGACTAAAGCCTGCCTTGTTTGGCTTTAAAGTATGTTGTCATTGTGATTTTAAAGGCACCAGTGGACGGCTGCTGCTGTGGCAGGACTCCTGTCCTTAACTGCTCCATACACATGAATACTGTCA